GAGAGAGAGAGAGAGAGAGAGAGAGAGAGAGAGAGAGAGAAGGAAAGAGATTCGTGTATTGTTTGTGTCTTCCTAGGGGAGATTTAAAACAAACAAACAAGCACAGAAAACCGGAGGATGGCGGAGGAAGGGGGACGCTGGAGAGAGGGGAAATAAAAAAGGTATAGATATAAATAACTATAGATATACTTTAAAAATGCAGTGCGGAACAAGGGGGAGAGAGGGCGTCCCCCCCGTCGCACCCCCAAAACTTGGCTTGGATTTGCTGTGGAGATTAGGCTGCGAGCGGGCTGCTTATTCGTTTGTGTTTTCTTAAGGTCGAAGCCGGCTGGCTTTGTTTTGCAGAGACGCTGGACGTAAATTAAAAGATGCTGGCGAGGGAAGGAGGAAGAGGAGGAGGAGGAAGAGATGGGAAGGGAAGGAGAGGAAGAGGAGGAGGAGGAGGAGGAAGAGATCCAGGGTCCACACCTCCGCGCTCCCGCTGCCCGATCCCGAGAGGGGCTCCGTAGTCAGAGGTCGTGGCAGGCGGCGTCTGTCTTCACGCTGTGCGCGTAAACCTCGTGCGGCGGCGGCGGCGCCTCTCCCGGCGGCGTCATGCGCTTCTCCTTCTGCCGGCGGTTGCAGAACCAGACCCGCACGACCTCCTTCTCCAGCTGCAGGCTGTCCGCCAAAGAGGAGATCTCCTGCGCCGCCGGCTTGGGGCACTTCAAGAAGTGCGTCTCCAGCACCCCCTTGACACTCACCTCGATGGAGGTCCGCTTCTTCCGCTTCCTGCCCTGCGCCGCGATCTTGTCGATGCTGGTGGGGCTGCCCGTGGACGAGTCGGCCTCCTCCAGCCACTTGTTCAGCAGCGGCTTCAGCTTGCACATGTTCTTGAAGCTCAGCTGCAGGGCCTCGAAGCGGCAGATGGTGGTCTGCGAGAAGACGTTGCCGTACAGCGTGCCCAGCGCCAGCCCCACGTCGGCCTGCGTGAAGCCCAGCTTGATGCGCCGCTGCTTGAACTGCTTGGCGAACTGCTCCAGCTCGTCCGACGTGGGCGTCTCCTCGTCCGAGTGGTCCGGGCAGGCGTGCGCGCCCAGCTCGCCGTGCTCGGGCGCGTCGCGCAGCACCTGGTGCAGGGCCTGCGGCGTGCCCGGCGCGGGCGGCGGCGTCAGGCCGCCGTGCTCCAGCATGCCGCTCACCGTGAAGCCCGCCTGCGAGTAGACGCCGAGCGGCGGCGGCGGCGGCGGCGGCTGCCCGCTGGACGGGAGCGGCGCGCCGTGCGCCGGGCTGGCTCCCCAGGCGCCCGGGTGGCTGGCGTGGTGCGGCGAGGGCTGGCCGACGTGGGGCGAGCGGTGGTGCAGCAGGGCGCCCAGCTGCAGGTCCTCCCGCCCGGGCTTGACGTCGGGCTGCTCCAGCGCGCCGCTGGCGATGGAGGACGACCAGGGCCCCGCATCGCTCAGGCTGGTCACCCAGTGGTGGCCCAGCGGGTGCCCGTTGCTGGGCACCCCTTGCAAGTAGTCACTTTGGAGAAGTTTCTGGGGGTTCCTGAAGGGGCTCCCTTGCTGCATGCCCGTCGGCTCCGCATGGACCAGCGCGCTCGAGTTGAGGATGCTGTAGGGATTCGACGCCGCCGTGGCCATGCTTGGCGCTCGGGATCCCCCCGACCAGTTATAATGTGGCAAAGGGAGATGCTTGCAGCCTTTGACATCTACCCAGCCAAAAGGGAGCCAAATCAGCGAACGCGCGCTGACGGGCGGCCCCGACGGCCAATCCCCACGCCTCTTCCCGCCGGGAAGTGGGCACCGCGGCCAATCAGGACTCGCCGGAGAGGTTGGCGCTGCGCCCGCTCGCCCCACGCCCTCCCTCGCCCCCCCCCAAAAAAAAGAAAGGGAAGGGGATGGGGAGGAAAAGGGTTAAAACGAGGGAGTCTGGAAGCAGGAAGTGAATCAATCTTCAGGCTTCATTGGCTGCCGAGGGCGGGCGGCCCACGGTTCAGGGGATTAACCCTTCCCGCGTTGCAGCGCCGGATCGCTTTCTGCCTCCCCCCACCCCCGCCCCGCTTCATCTTTCAGATCTTATTAGGGGAGAGGAGGCGGCGGGCGGGAGGGCATGGTTTAAATTTGTCGTGATTAGTTCCAGGTATAGCCCAACCCTAATTCCAAGCAGGGCTTGGCGAAAGGCGGGGGGGGGGGGCAGCGAAGAGAGGTTAAATACCTGCCCCCAAGACGGGCAGCTTCTCCTGGCAAAGTTTATTCCTGTCGCTTCCTCCCCGACTTAGATCGCCTCCTCTTAACATTTTGGAAGTCGGGCTGAAAGTAAGCGAGAGACTAAAAGAGGGAGAGAGATGCGCAGCCCTTCCCGGGTCAGCTGTCCTTGGCTAGGAAAAAGGTCTGTGCGCGCGCGGGCGCTGCATGCACACGCAGCCTCGCCGCCTCTCTTTCGTCCTCGGTGTATAGATGCACACGTATGCACGCACAGAGAAGGAGATTAATGACACACGCGCGCGCGCGCGCTGAGGGAAGATGAAACAGGTGTGTGTGTCCGCGCTAGAGAGAGAGGGAGAGAGATGGGAGTACTATTTAATATACGGGGTCATTTTTTTTTTTTTTTTTTTTTTTTGCATTTCACTGAGCCTGACTTGTTGGTAAATCAGTAGTTAACCCATTCCCTGATTTAAATGCAAATCCTGCCTGCCTTTGGTATAATTTGAGCGATGCAACGCTTCCTTCCACACTCGCCCTGGTCATTCTGGAGCTGGGTTTCCTCCCCGCTCACTACCCACAGTTGGGAAACGCGTGTTTCCCGCAACTTTTCCAGTCTCCGAGAGCCGCCTCTGGTTGGAAAGCACACAACTTCTGAAGGCGACAATAGAGACGCGCGTCTTGCGATCCGGGTGCCAAGAGCTCTCCTGCCTTCAGGATCCATGAGAGAGGTTTTAGTGCCTTTGTTTTTCTCCTCTTTTCCAAAATACAAACGCCCCATACAGATAGAATCTGGCAAATTGCTTGAATAAATTAGAATGATTTCTACTAACCAAAACCTTCCCCCAACTTAGAAAACAGAGATATGTTGTATGTTTTATATCTTTATCCCTTCAAACATGCCCTTGTGTAAGAAGAAATGTCAAATCATAAATTGGGAGGGTGATGAAAGAGAGAGAGATTTGCATGGAATGGGGAAAAGAGAAAGGGTTGGCTGTAGTTTCTCTATCCATTTTGTGAATAATAATAATAGTAATAGTGTCTATTATTGTACTATTTGTGCATTCGTCTTTCAAAAGGTCCACTAAGGAGCAAAAATCTGAGTATTTCGCATTTGTTGTAGAGCTCTACCTGAGACAATTAAACCCTAGTACTTTCGTGGAGGGAAGAAAAAAATCTCTGAAGTTTTTTTTAATGGCCTTTCCTTGCATAATTTCGGAGGTAACCTCGCTGCGTAATTATATTTGCACTTACAGGATGCTGCATCGCAGTTCCCTTATTGGTTTGAAATTCCATTAAATATATTGCAGGAGCTCCTAGGTTAAGCTTGATTTAAATTTGCATACATTTTCATATATTTAGCAGAAATAAAAGAAGGCTTGCAGCTACCCGAAAGTCATTAAGGCATTAAGTTCTCTAGGAAGACAGATCTGGAGAAAAATTCAAGAAAATGAAAATATCTCCCTAAACAAGGTGAGCCCCCCCCCCGCAATATATACACCTCCTCCCCCCTCCCCCCCTTCCCCACCGCCTTCTCATTTGATTTGTATTCTTTTCTTTCTAAACTTAGGATAAATAATTCTTGCTATAATTTCTCCGCAAAGTTTTGCAGACTGGTTCAGTGTATTTGTGTGAATTGGGGGAGGGGGCTGCTGGCTTTGTTTTCGAGTGCGATGCCTATTTGAGGAACTTTGGAAACTTTGATTTTGTTTCTGGCATCTTGGAATGCCTCGAAGAAGTCTGTGCAGTTCATTTCTGTGTTTACATTTGGAAGTGATATTTTGGGGAGAGTACAGTTGCCAGTAAATCGCATGTGTGCGTGCGTGAGGACGTGCCCTGAGTTTTCGCCTCTTGTTTCGGTCTTTGGTGAAATATAGCTCAATCGGTGAGAAAATGGGAGGGCGTGTGCCTCAGGTGTTGCAAAGCAAAGCTGATGTTCCCACTGAGAACAGGAGAAGGACGTGAAAACACAGACAGGGGCAGCGTACTGGGTCAAAAGATGGGGAAATGTTTAAAAAAAATTAAAGTCTGCAGGACGGGAAGAACAAAAGCCACCTGGCCTTCATATACCAATTGAAAATCGGACCTGCTGTATTTATGATCCTATGTTTAGAAAGACGCGTGCCAAACTGGAACCAAGGAAAGCCGTCCTTGCCAAATTCTTTGCACCGCAGGAAAGAGGCGATAGCGGAGCTGGGAGCTGCCACAACTGTAACCCGTGTAACAATTGTGACGCTGCCATCCTAAATACACACGGCCAGATTGCTTTCCTTCTCTTCTCTTCTCTTCTCTTCCTCCCCCGCCCCTGTTCTTGGAACAATTCCGGTCAGGAACTCCGGCGGCGGGCAGGCGCTTGAAATCAGAAAAGGCGAGTCTAACAGAACGACTCGAAGCTTATCCGCCGGTTCTCCTCGGCTCATTTGGGGATCGCCGAGGAAAAGGGGCTTTTCCTTCCCCGCCCCCCCCCCTCGTTCCGCTCAGCTCTCTAATGAATTTAGCCAGCACTCCTCTTTCCACCTAAGCCAAAGATTGCACTCTAGACCAGGCCTGGAGAAAATGCAACACAAAAATGCCACTGTGTGTGTGCGTGTGTGTGTCTGTCCACGTAGATTGATCTGCGTCTCCAGGCATGATTACTGCAACGTTCCGCCCCAGCTTAGGAGAGAAGAGACCCCTGATATTTTCCCCCACCCTCCTTTCTGCTCTTCTGGAGTGTTTTTCATCTGCATGGAGCCGAGCCCTTCCCTTGCTTTGCCTCCTAATCTGCTGGAGAGGGTTTCTTTAGCTCTTCCCTGTCAGTCTAACTTCCCGAGTGTAACAGATGCTTCTCTCAAGCGCTCCTTTCTGCTCCTTTGCTCTATTCAGCCCTGCATATTTCTCCTCATGATCCGGGTTTCCATAGAGAGGGGCATAAAAGGGGGGACCACAGCCGCAAATCCATCGCCCCACGCAGAATAAAAGGACCTCATTCAATAGACCGACCCCGTCTGAACATGAGAGAGTTTTACTTAAAGAAAGAAAGAGAGAGGGGGGAAAAAACCGAGGACACGCAGAGTAACTGTTGCAAGAATTTGAAACTTATTTTTCATAGACTTCAGGGTGACGGTCATTTTATTTGTTTGTTTGTTAGAGAAAGGGAGAGAAAATTCAACCAGTTCTGGGAGGATGAGGAGAGAAGTCTCTTTCTTCCCCTTTTTGGCATTTTAAACGTTTCTTTCTTCTTTCTTTTTAAAAGCACGTTCGCCTCTCCGGATTGTGTCCCCCCCCTTCCCCCCCCCCCCCCCACGCCGGCACGAATAACTTTACTTTCCTATGTGTTGGTACTCCCTCCCCCTCGCCTCCCCCTCCCCCTCGGTCCGTCTCTGAATAAATCCAGTAGAATAAGTGCGGAAAAGGCGAGCATTTTGAATGAAGGCGAGGAGAAGTCAGCGCGCAAGGACGCGCACCTGCTGGCTTGGTTGCCTGGTGGCTTGTTCGTGCCCGGATCCGTTTGCCGGTTTGCCTGTGCCGGGGCGCCCCAGTTAAGTCCTCGGACGACTCCCCACAAAACACGCTTGAGAAAGTTCAAGCGAGGCGGGCACGGCGCTGCAGCCGAGGCGATGGACTGAGCGGCGCCTTCCCGTCCCTCCAAACGTTGGGCGGGTTGCGGGTTGCGAGGTTGCGGCGTGGGGCCGCCGGCTCGGACTCCGCGGGACTCGCCTCAGTGCCGCAGGCCCTGGAGGGCGCTCTCCAAGCCGTGCCCAGAGCGAGTAGTGTAGGGAAGAGGAGCGAAAGCCAGGTGGGCAGGTACACGCGCTTGCAGAGAGACCCGCTTGCCGAGCCACGCAGTGGAGGTGCGTACGAGATGCGGTGGGTGGGTGTTTGGTGCCGGTGCGCACACACGTGCATCTGTTTCTCTGTGTGTGTGTGTGTGAAACCCACGTGTCGGATGCACATGCACTACTGGAAACACCTGTGTAACACAGAGGCACCCCCACACGTTCCCAGAAACGGGGGCTCGGCCGGCGCACGGGAGGGCAGCTCCCCTGCTGTGGAAAAGGGGCGCCGGCAGCGCGCTGCGACAGCATCCTCGCGTCTCTTCGCTGGCTCGCCCCGCGCTCTTCGCCGCTTCCCCAGAGAGCCGCGGCGGCCTCTGGGCCCGCGCTGCCTCCCCGGAGCGGCTCTTCGGCGCTGGGCGGGCGGACCGGCGGCTCGGCCCCGAGCGCGGGAGGCGGGCGGAGCAGCGACTCTCCAAGGGGGCCGCTTGGCTGTGCTTAATGCGGCGTGAGCGCGCCCGCGGCAGGCAGCGCCGCGGGGTCGCGACCTCCATAAAGAAAGCTTCACCTGCTTGCCCAAGTTCACTGCAGAGGCAGGCGGCTTGTGAAGCGGCTCTCGGGGGGCGACCGGGGTAAACAGGGGGGAGGGGGCGAGGGGCAAGGAAAGCCCAGCCTGGCGCGGGG